CAGACATGATGTAGTCATGCGGCGGGCCAGAAGCATGGAATTTATCGTACGTCTTTGGGGAGAAAATCGACAAAGGAGAGGAGGTTGCGGTTGGTGAGAAATTTGATAGCTACCCCTAATTGGAAAGAGTCGCAGCTGGGAGAGGAGGTGTAGCCTAGCTTGCACTGGGGGCGAGACTGGGAGGGGGAGATGTAGAGGGAGAGGAAGTGTGATGGGACGGAGGAGACGGTGTTGAGGATGCAGTCCCGGCGGAGCTGGAGTTCTTGTTCGAGACCGGAGGGGAGATCCCACCATGCTGCTGTGTAGACGTGTTCGGACTTTTCGTCTTCTTCGTCGAAGAGGGTGCACCATCGTCTTGAGCCGTACATGACTAGCTCGCGGGTGGAGGGTTGGAAGACTAATGGGCGGTCGAGAAGCCAGGAGACGAGGATCTTTTGGCGGAGGAGTTCTTCGAAGGACTTGGAGAGGGCTGGGCCGGTTCGGTTTTGGTTTTGGGTGGTGATGGGGGGGAATTTGAACTTGATTGCGGCTAGCCATTTGGATACTAAGGGGGTGCAGTCGAAGCGATCTGCTAGGACGGCAATGATGGCCAGGTAGCGGACGGCGAGGGGCTTGGTGGTGATGGGGACTCGATGAAGGATCCTCATCAGGTCACCGAAGGCCAAGCTGAGGTTGGCGGTACGGGAGGCTTCGTCATCTTCATTGATTTCGACGATTGGCAGCTCGGAAAGGTCTGCTTCGGAGGGTTTTACGTTTGATAGGGACAGCTTTTGGAGGGCATTTTCAACTGCCTTGGCTTCCACAAACCGTGTGTCCCCAAGCAAACGGTTGAAGTACCCTGAATTGGCTTTTAGAACAGATGTTTGCACCCTGTAGCCTTGCTTCACTGTGGGCTTGAGAGCCGTTGGTGGCTCCTTTGACTTTTTGGCTGCCGTGAGTGTTTCTTTCGACGTGTTGAAGGTTACACGAAGGACAAGGTCACCCTCAGGAGCTATGTCGACCACAGCCAGATCGCCAAGATATTTTCCCGGAGGCGGGCCGGCCGGGTTGACTTGTTCCGGAGCGGAGCCGTCCATGACCGGGACCGGGGCTGAGAAAAGATCAGACTCAGGGCCGGGACGGGATTAGGCTCCCGTGGTGAATGTTTGAGGAGGCTTTTCCGGGTTTGCCCCTGGCCGGCTCCGAAAAAAAATTCTTATAGGGCGGTTGGCCGGTGGATGGCGTTAGGGGCGATCTGATCTGATAACCAACCACGTCGTAGATCAAATAACTGGCACTGGAAAACACTGAACCAGGCCTCAAAAATATTTAATAGGCTTTAAAAGATATTTAAGGGGCTTTAATAGATAACTGACAGGCCTTAGAAGATCGTTAATAGGCCTCTTGGTTATTTTTTAGGCCTTTTAGCTATCTTCTGAGGCGTGACAATTATCTTTTGACGCCTGTTTTTCTTTTTAAAAGGCGAAGCTCGATGATGATTATACGTTTTACCGACTTGCAGTACCACTTATTTTGTCCACGATGTGCTTGCTAACCACGATGTTGCGTTTTCAGAATCCGCTATTTGTAACGGCAGTCCACAAGGGCCGAATATCGCGATCCATATCCGTAGCTCGAAAATCTTCAGCCTGACAAGTGGCTCCAGATGAGGGTTAGGCCGAAGTGGTCCGTCATGGAATACGGGTTGTTTGAGAATTACCTATAAAAGTAATGCTGGTTGAGACCAACAAATGCCAGTGTCTATCGCTTTAGGTCGAGTGTAAGACTACCATATCGAGAAAAAGAACATCACGGTTCATCTGTCATTGAGAGCGAGGGTTGAGAGTGAGATCAAAGGTGCCAAGAGCACCCGCTAAAATGACGTTGACAAAGCCCCCACCAGCGGACCCCTGGGGCCCCAGAGAGCATGCCGCTCCCCTGCGTTTCTGTCAAAAGTGCATGTTTATTCCCTGCAACAGCAATATCCAAGCATCTTTCCGTCCCTTTTTATCTATCACCAGACATCTATCACAGACTCTCCGTTATCCGATCTCGATTCCCGGTGGAAAACATCAGCCGAGCCAGCCCCAGACTGTGGAAAGCAAACCCTGAACGCCAAGTCCCTACAAGTCAACCAAAGACAGCCAATTGCCGCAGCGCACGAAGAGCACGCCTCTTGGCCCCAACATATTCCCCGAACTCATCAAGTGCCTGCTCGGCCTGCACCTCGCCCTCGCACTACGTCAGCCACCTCTTCTCCGGTTCCATGGCCGCATTTTGCACGATATCGAGTCTCTACCTATTTGCTGGCCGGGAACTTGCATTAGCTGGTCTTTTATAAGACTGCAATTGGCTCTGTCTGCTTGGCGATGCTCCCATTGCCTTGTCGTCGGGCTCTGGGACAGCTTACGGTGAGGAGTGTCCGGACAGCTTCGTCCCGACTCCCACCACCCACTCCTACCCTCCTCGACGCCTTCATGAGCTACATCGCAACCTTTTTTCATCACCACGGACGAGCTCAGATGCGGAACCTTACCGTCTCGCACACTCGCGCCTTGCGACTCGCAGGCGCCAACCGTCACCTCCGAACACCAACTCGAGCTACCATCCTGGCACACCGCGATGCGACACAGCCTTGCGGCAGCTGGCGAACCCAGAGCACTGTCGCCGCCAACCCAGTTCTACGACGGGGCTTTCACAACTACTTCATAACTCACCTTCCCTCGTCCTCGCTTCATCCAGACTCGCGATCCTCTGTCGGCCCCGGCCACAAGCTTCCTCGATCTGCCTCAACACCACACACGCCAGAACCTGGGTCATCACCAGCCTTGAACCCACCAAATATGCCCGGTCGCGACTTGACGGTAGTCCGTATCCCTCTCCGAAGCGCCAAGCACCACTTTGGTACATCTGTCTCGCGCGGACAGCGGCCATACAACGAGGATACCAACCAAGCTGGGACAATAACTTTGCCAGCTTTCTCAAGGCGTGTACCAACCAGTGTGGTGCGCCAGCAAAGACCCACAGGCGAAAGCTTCAATGCTTACAGCGCCCTGGGGGATCCTCAAATATTCTACTTTGGCGTATTTGACGGGCACGGAGGGTCCGAGTGTAGCGAGTTTCTGCGAGACGAATTGCATGGGTATATAGAGGAGGCGGCGGCGGAATTTGAGCTGGAAAGCAGCTTGAAGGGTGATAAGGATCGCAGGTACTCCCTGTCAGACCCAGGGTATTCCTTATCAGAACCAGATGTCTCGCGCAACCAAGAAGAACCGAGGGAACACAATGCTGGGGGCGGTTCTGAGCTTCCAGCAGGTCTCAGCAAGACCGTGAAGTTGGAGCAAGAGCTTCTCAATGAGTACCGGCGCACCATTGGAGGCTACTTTCGCCGATTTCATCCGAGCTACTTCACGGCTTCCACCGTCTCGTCCACCTCCTCCTTTTCCGAAGAACCTATGTCATCAACAACTCCTAGCAATGTGCCCGCAACCCTCGAATCCGTTCTGACCTATGCCTTTCTCAGGGCTGACCTCGATTTCGTCACGGCGCAAGCGCGCAAGCCAGATCCAGAAGACGTGATTGTAGAAGACCTGCCTCTTAACAAGGACGAGATCCTGGGCGTCCCGCACCTTCCCCCATCGGGCCATAGCATCGGCGGGCGGGAGCGCTTCAAGGGAGGCTCTACCGCTTCGGTAGCTCTCATCTCGACTCCTACTCCGGCTCCTTTCTGGCATCCCAATGCGCACTCAACGCTGGTTGTAGCCCATGTGGGAGACACGCGTGTCTTGCTGTGCGAGACCAAGACCGGCAAACCTCTGGCTTTGACCACCGATCATCGGCCATCATCGCCAGTTGAGACGAGACGGATGAGTCGATATGCCAGCAGTATGATTACCGATTCTTTTGGAGAGGAGAGAATCGGCGGGCTGGCCAATAGCAGATCATTTGGGGACATGCAGAGCAAAAGGATCGGTGTTTCTGCTGAGCCAGATATCACCAGGGTGGAGATTGGGCCGGCAGAGTACTCGTTTTTGGTGCTCATGTCTGACGGTGTGAGCGGAAGCTTGTCGGATCAGGAAATTGTGGATGTGATTAAAGAGGCCAAGACTCCGGAAGATGGTGCTAGGCATGTGATTGAGTATGCGACGGAGGTGTCGAGTGACGGCGACAACGCGACTTGTCAAGTTATCAGATTGGGAGGCTGGGAGAGGAGAAGCGAGGGCGGCCTGGGGAGCCTGGGTACGAAGGAGATGAGGGACATGAGAAGGGATGAGGCGTTGGACCCAAGAAGACGGAGGAGTTGAGACTTGAGAGGAGTACACTGCGTTTTTAGGCATATTCTTTTTGTTTTATATTTTTGCGAGGCTAGGGCGGAATGCGCGGCGTTAAGGATGATAGAGGAGATATCGTCATGTTAGAAATACGAATAATTTTGGTTATAACGTGCATGATAAGCGAGCGCCGCAGATAAGCGAGCGCCGCACTTTCTACCACCCTACCACAGCTATCCTCAATTACACAACCACAACACTAGGAAACAACGATAACTGAACTAGAAATAGATGAATCAGATGATTCTGCAGCCTCCTGGCATGTACGTGCATTATGGCCAGGCTTACCGCACACGCCACAGCACCGAATCTTCGTACGAGACCCCCCTGCACCACCACCACTTTATCGTATTTCTTGGGCTACCTGCTCACCCACAGCCTTTTAATCTAGTAGATCCTGTGCCTCTTATATAGTAAGTGACCCTCCAAGCCGCATACGTGTTTTTTTGGCTCTCCGTCTCTTATTAAGCTCCTTATTGGCCTTGCGTAGCGAAGAGACCTCTGTACGGAGAAAAGTTACTTCGTGTATTATATTTATTACTCCTTTAGTAAATTAGTTTATAGCGGCTAATATTAAGGTTAGAGAACTATTTTAATAGTTAGAAATTCGAGTTTTAATAAGCGTTAACTATAAAATAATCTCTCGAAGGTTATATAGCGTTTAAAAGACTTAAGGTAATACTATAATTAAATTTAAAGCTAAAGGTATTAAAGTCCGAATATATATATTTAATTTAAATATTATCCTTTCTAAATTATACGGTATAAAGCTAATTTTAATAAAACCTTTCTAAATATTTTTTTCTATAATCGAAATAAAAAACGTTTTTTAAATATATAAAAAAACTTTAATTTACTAATATATATAATATTTATTTACATTAATTATTTAATTTAATAGCTATACGCCCTTTTTAATAATATAAAATAATTAATATTTAATAATTAAAGTATATAGGAAGAGTATAGAGGTATATATAATATAATGAAATGGTGAGAAAACACACAAAACAACCACAACACCACAAATATACCCTCAACAGGTCTCAGAATGAACACACCTGCGTGACAGTGACTCGCTCGCAGGCCGCACTTCACGTAGGACAAAGAAAAGACACTATGGGCTCGCAGGCCACATAATAAGCACCGGATTGGCCTGATCAGAGGGCCAGAATTGCCTGCACGCGTGCAAGGCACAAAATACGAAGAAAAGAATAAAAGTCGATGTCCTGTCTAAAATAGAATGTCCGAAGCAGACCGCTTATATACATGACCCCTGAACCCCTGAGTCCTCTGAGAGCCCCGCTTCCTTACTCATACTCTCAGGCCTGTGGCCGCACCCCAAACCAATAATAATATTATATTTTTAATAATAAATTTTAAATTTTTCGGAATAATAATTTTTATAATTATTAAAAATTAATAACCGATATTTACCTTTTATATAAAATACTATATAAAAATCGAAATATCGAATTTAATTTATATTTTTTTATTAATAGTTTAATTATTATTAATTATTATAATATATTAAGTAGCCGGAAAGCTATACTTTTAATATTAATTAATAGAATAATATTATTTAATTAAAATAATAAATAATAAAATAATTTAATTTAAAGTATTTACGCTTTAAATAACCGTAATTTATTTATAATTATTAAATTAAATTTATTTAATTTTATTACGGTTATTAAAAATTATAATAACTATAATAATAATAATAATATTTATTATAAACCTAATTTTATTAAAATTTGTTAGTT